TTATTCATTCCCATTAATTATTCCCGCTATTCCCATTAATTATTCCCGCTATTCCCGTTAGTTATTTCCGCTATTCCCGTTAGTTATTCCTGTTAATTATTCCCGCTATTCCCATTATTCATTCCCATTAATTATTCCCGCTATTCCCATTAATTATTCCCGCTATTCCCGTTAGTTACTCCCACTATTCCCGTTAATTATTCCTGTTAATTATTCCCATTAGTCATTCCCGCCATTCCTGTTAATTATTCCTGTTAATTATTCCTGTTAATTACTCCCATTAGTCATTCCCGCTATTCCCGTTAGTTATTCCCGTTATGCCCATTATTCATTCCCATTAATTATTCCCGCTATTACCGTTAGTTACTCCTGTTAATTATTCCCGCTATTCCCGCTATTCCCATTATTCCCATTATTCATTCCCATTAATTATTCCCGCTATTCCCACTATTCCCACTATTATTAGTTATTCCTGTTAATTATTCCCATCATTCCCACTATTCCCATTATTCCCGTTAGTTATTCCTGCTATTCCCGTTATTCATTCCCGTTAATTATTCCCGCTATTCCCACTATTATTAGTTACATTCCCGCAATTCCCGTTAGTCATTCCCGCTATTCCCATTTATTATTCCCGCAATTCCCGTTATTCATTCCCGCAATTCCCGTTATTCATTCCCGTTAATTATTCCCGCTATTCCCACTATTCCCACTATTATTAGTTATTCCTGTTAATTATTCCCATCATTCCCACTATTCCCATTATTCCCGTTAGTTATTCCTGCTGTTCCTGTTAGTTATTCCTGTTAATTATTCCTGCTATTCCTGTTTTTCCCGTTATTCATTCCCTTTAATTACTCCCGCTATTCCCGTTAGTTATTCCCGTTAGTTACTCCCGCTATTCCCGTTAATTATTCCTGTTAATTACTCCCATTAGTCATTCCCGTTAGTTATTCCCATTAGTCATTCCCGTTAATCATTCCTATTATTCATTTCCGTTAGTCATTCCCGCTATTCCCGTTAGTTATTCCTGTTAATTATTCCTGCTATTCCCGTTTTTCCCGTTATTCATTCCCTTTAATTACTCCCGCTATTCCCGTTAGTTATTCCTGTTAATTACTCCCGTTAGTTATTCCCGTTAGTTACTCCCGCTATTCCCGTTAATTATTCCTGTTAATTACTCCCATTAGTCATTCCCGTTAATCATTCCTATTATGCATTTCCGTTAGTCATTCCCGCTATTCCCGTTAGTTATTCCCGTTAGTTATTCCCGTTATTCATTCCCGCTATTCCCATTATTCATTCCTGTTATTCCCGTTAGTTATTCCCATTATTCCCGTTAGTCATTCCCGTTAGTTACTCCCGCTATTCCCGTTAATTATTCCTGTTAATTACTCCCATTAGTCATTCCCGTTAGTTATTCCCGTTAATTATTCCTGTTAATTACTCCCATTAGTCATTCCCGTTAGTTATTCCCGCTGTCCCTTCCCGCTCCCTCTCACCGTCGGGCGCGGTGGATTCCCCGTATCCCTTCATCTCCAGCGCGATCACCCGGAATCCGGCCTGGGCCAGCGCCGGGATCTGGGATCCAGCACGTCCAAAAGTGTCCCCCGGGGTGCCGGATCCCCGGAATTCCGGGGAATTTCGGGAATTCCGGGGCGGGGGGGGATTTGGGGCTGACCTGGAAGCGCCAGGCGAGCCAGGACTCCGGGAATCCGTGGCACAGGCAGAGCGCCGGGCCCCGGCCCAGCTCCGCGAAGTGCAGCCGCACGCCCGGCTGGGAAAACGGGAGAACAACGGGAATTCTGCACGGAGCCCCGGAAAACGGGAAAGTTCCCGAGGGCAGAGACCTTCCTGCCTGGAATTCCGGAACCCAGAGCCCTCCGATTGGAATTCCAGAGCTTTTCCAGGCCTGGAATTCCGGAACCCAGAGCCCTTCCTGCTTGGAATTCCTGAGCTTTTCCAGACCTGGAATTCCGGAACCCAGAGCCCTTCCTGCTTGGAATTCCTGAGCTTTTCCAGGCCTGGAATTCCGGAACCCAGAGCCCTCCCTGCTTGGAATTCCTGAGCTTTTCCTGACCTGGAATTCCAGAGTCCAGAGCCCTTCCTGGCCTGCAATTCCTGAGCTTTTCCTGGCCTGGAATTCCGGAACCCAGAGCCCTTCCAGAGCTTTTCCAGGCCTGGAATTCTGGAGCCCAGAGCCTTTCCTGGCCTGGAATTCCTGAGCTTTTCCAGGCCTGGAATTCCGGAAGGCAGAGACCTTCCTGCTTGGAATTCCTGAGCTTTTCCAGGCCTGGAATTCCGGAACCCAGAGCCCTTCCTGCTTGGAATTCCTGAGCTTTTCCAGGCTTGGAATTCAGGAACCCAGAGCCCTTCCTGGCCTGCAATTCCTGAGCTTTTCCAGGCCCAGAATTCCGGAGCCCAGAGCCCTTCCCGGCCTGGAATTCCTGAGCTTTTCCAGGCCTGGAATTCCGGAGCCCAGAGCCTTTCCTGGCCTGGAATTCCTGAGCTTTTCCAGGCCTGGAATTCCGGAAGGCAGAGACCTTCCTGCTTGGAATTCCTGAGCTTTTCCAGGCCTGGAATTTCTGAGCATAGAGCCCTTCCCGGCCTGGAATTCCTGAGCTTTTCCAGGCCTGGAATTCCGGAACCCAGAGCCCTTCCTGCTTGGAATTCCTGACCTTTTCCAGGGCTGGAATTCCGGAACCCAGAGCCCTTCCTGCTTGGAATTCCTGACCTTTTCCAGGCCTGGAATTCCGGAATCCAGAGCCCTTCCTGAGCTTTTCCAGGCCTGGAATTCTGGAACCCAGAGCCTTTCCTGGCCTGGAATTCCTGAGCTTTTCCAGGCCTGGAATTCCGGAAGGCAGAGACCTTCCTGCTTGGAATTCCTGAGCTTTTCCAGGCCTGGAATTCCAGAGCCCAGAGCCCTTCCTGGCCTGGAATTCCTGAGCTTTTCCTGGCCTGGAATTCTGGAACCCAGAGCCCTTCCTGCTTGGAATTCCTGAGCTTTTCCAGGCCTGGAATTTCAGAGCATAGAGCCCTTCCCGGCCTGGAATTCCTGAGCTTTTCCAGGCCTGGAATTCCAGAGCCCAGAGCCCTTCCTGCTTGGAATTCCTGAGCTTTTCCAGGCCTGAAATTCCGGAACCCAGAGCCCTTCCTGGCCTGGAATTCCTGAGCTTTTCCAGGCCCGGAATTCCGGAACCCTGAGCCCTTCCTGGCCTGGAATTCTGGAGCTTTTCCAGGCCTGGAATTCCGGAACCCAGAGCCCTCCCTGCTTGGAATTCCTGAGCTTTTCCAGACCTGGAATTCCAGAGCCCAGAACTTAAAATTCCAGAGCCCAGAGCTCTTCCCATCCTGGAATTCCGGAACTCAGCATCCAAAATTCTGGAACCCAGCACACAAAATTCTGGAACTCAGCACCCAGAATTCCAGAGTCCAGAGCCCTTCCCGGCCTGGAATTCTGGAGCTTCTCCCATCCTGGAATTCCGGAACTCAGCACCTGGAATTCCAGAGCCCAGCTCCGCAAAGTGCAGTCACACGCCCGGCTGGGAAAGGAGGGAAAAGCAACGGGAATTCTGCACGGAGCCCGGAAAACCGGGAACGAACGGGCCTGGAATCCCAGCCATTCCCAGAAGATCCCAACCATTCCCAGATCCCAGAAGATCCAGGCCTGGAATTCCACCCCTTCCCAGATTCTGGAAGGTTCCAGCCTGGAATGCAACCCATTCCCAAGATTCCGGCATGGAATCCCACTCATTCCCAGATCCTGGAAAATCCAAGGCTGGAATTCCACCCATTCCCAGAAGATCCCAACCATTCCCAGATCCCAGAAGATTCCAGCCTGGAATCCAACACAATCCCAGATTCCAGAAGATTCCAGCCTGGAATCCCAGCCATTCCCAGATTCTGGAAGATCCCAACCTGGAATTCCACCCATCCCAGGGTCCTGGCTGGATTCCCACTCATTCCCAGAAGATCCCAGAAGATCCCGGCCCAGATTCCCAGATCCCAGCCATTTCCACATCCCAGAAGATCCCAGGTGGATTCCCACCCATTCCCAGAAGATCCCGGCCATTCCCAGATCCCAAAAGATTCCAAGCCTGGAATTCCACACATTCCCAAGATCCCAGCCCGGATTCCCAGATCCCAGAAGATCCCAGCATGGAATTCCACCCATTCCCAGAAGATGCCATGCATTCCCAGATAGTCCCGGAAGATCCCAGCCCGGATTCCCAGCCATTCCCAGATCCCACCCATTCCCAGAAGATGCCATGCATTCCCAGATAGTCCCGGAAGATCCCAGCCCGGATTCCCAGAAGATCCCAGCCCGGATTCCCAGAAGATCCCAGCCCGGATTCCCAGAAGATCCCAGCCCGGATTCCCAGAAGATCCCAGCCCGGATTCCCAGAAGATCCCAGCCCGGATTCCCAGAAGATCCCAGCCCGGATTCCCAGAAGATCCCAGCCCGGATTCCCAGAAGATCCCAGCCCGGATTCCCAGAAGATCCCAGCCCGGATTCCCAGAAGATCCCAGCCATTCCTAAATCCCTGAAGATCCCTTCCCAGATCCCAGAAGATCCCAGTCCAGATTCCCAGGTCGCAGAAGATCCCATCCCACATTCCCAGAAGATCCCATCCTGCATTCCCAGAAGACCCCAGCCCTGATTCCCAGAAGATCCCATCCACATTCCCAGAAGATCCCAGCCCACATTCCCAGAAGATCCCAGCCTTGATTCCCACCCCTTCCAAGATTCCAGAAGATCCCATCCCGCATTCCCAGAAGATCACATCCCACATTCCCAGAAGATCCCAGCCTTGATTCCCACCCCTTCCGAGATCCCAGAAGATCCCAGCCAGCATTCCCAGAAGATCCCATCCCACATTCCCAGAAGATCCCAGCCCGGATTCCAAAAAGATCCCAGCCTTGATTCCCACCCCTTCCGAGATCCCAGAAGATCCCAGCCCGCATTCCAAAAAGATCCCATCCCACATTCCCAGAAGATCCCATCCCACATTCCCAGAAGATCCCATCCCGCATTCCCAGAAGGCCCCAGCCCGGATTCCCGGCGGATCCCGGTCCTCATTCCCGTTTTTCCGTACGCGGATGTCGACGTATCCGTGCGCGACCTCGTCCGGCGCGATCGGCCTCGGCAGCTCCTCCTCCCGGCCCAGCAGCTGCCGGAATCATCTCCATGGAATTCCGCGGATCCCGCCGGGACCCCGGGATGGCGGAACCGGGAATTCCGGGGGTTTTTCCCCGTACCTGGATCCCGCAGAGCTCCTGCAGGTCCCGGAGGGCGGATTCCGTGTCCCGCACCAGGATCGTGGCCATCCCCAGCTCCCGCGCCGGCTCCAGGTTCTCCTCCAGCTCATCCAGGAAAATCACCTGGAAAAACACCCAGAAACCCGGGAACGGCTCAGGCTTGGACCCAAGGGCGGGAAAAATCCCCCGTTCCCGGGAATTCTGGGATTGTGGTGGCATCTCCTGGGGCTTCGCACTCCAGGGAACATCCGAGGATTCAACCACGGGTTTGTGGGATGGGAAAATTCCAGGTTTTCTGGGGTTTTTGGGATTGTGGTGGCATCTCCCAAGGCTTCAAATCCCTCAGAACATCCAAAGATTCGGGGGATGGACAATTCCCCATTCCCAGGTTTTTTTGGGATTGTGGTGGCACCTCCCAGGGCTTCCCAACCCCGGGAACATCCCAGGATCTGGGGCATGTCCAACCCCCATTCCCAGGTTTTTTTTGGGATTGTGGTGGCATCTCCTGGGGCTTCCCAACCCTCAGAAAATCCCAGGATGTGGGGGACGGAAAATCCCAGTTTTTTGGGATTGTGGTGGCATCTCCCAAGGCTTCCCAACCCCGGGAACATCCCAGGATCTGGGGCATGTCCAACCCCCCATTCCCAGGTTTTTTTTGGGATTGTGGAGGCATCTCCCAAGGCTTCCCAACCCTCGGAACATCCCAGGAGATCCCATCCCACATTCCCAGAAGATCCCATCCCGCATTCCCAGAAGATCCCAGCCCACATTCCCAGAAGATCCCATCCCGCATTCCCAGAAGATCCCAGCCCACATTCCCAGAAGATCCCATCCTGCATTCCCAGAAGATCCCATCCCGCATTCCCAGAAGGCCCCAGCCCGGATTCCCGGCGGATCCCGGTCCTCATTCCCGTTTTTCCGTACGCGGATGTCGACGTATCCGTGCGCGACCTCGTCCGGCGCGATCGGCCTCGGCAGCTCCTCCTCCCGGCCCAGCAGCTGCCGGAATCATCTCCATGGAATTCCGCGGGATCCCGCCGGGACCCCGGGATGGCGGAACCGGGAATTCCGGGGGTTTTTCCCCGTACCTGGATCCCGCAGAGCTCCTGCAGGTCCCGGAGGGCGGATTCCGTGTCCCGCACCAGGATCGTGGCCATCCCCAGCTCCCGCGCCGGCTCCAGGTTCTCCTCCAGCTCATCCAGGAAAATCACCTGGAAAAACACCCAGAAACCCGGGAACGGCTCAGGCTTGGACCCAAGGGCGGGAAAAATCCCCCGTTCCCGGGAATTCTGGGATTGTGGTGGCATCTCCTGGGGCTTCGCACTCCAGGGAACATCCGAGGATTCAACCACGGGTTTGTGGGATGGGAAAATTCCAGGTTTTCTGGGGTTTTTGGGATTGTGGTGGCATCTCCCAAGGCTTCAAATCCCTCAGAACATCCAAAGATTCGGGGGATGGACAATTCCCCATTCCCAGGTTTTTTTGGGATTGTGGTGGCACCTCCCAGGGCTTCCCAACCCCGGGAACATCCCAGGATCTGGGGCATGTCCAACCCCCATTCCCAGGTTTTTTTTGGGATTGTGGTGGCATCTCCTGGGGCTTCCCAACCCTCAGAAAATCCCAGGATGTGGGGGACGGAAAATCCCAGTTTTTTGGGATTGTGGTGGCATCTCCCAAGGCTTCCCAACCCCGGGAACATCCCAGGATCTGGGGCATGTCCAACCCCCCATTCCCAGGTTTTTTTTGGGATTGTGGAGGCATCTCCCAAGGCTTCCCAACCCTCGGAACATCCCAGGATCTGGGGGACGGAAAATCCCAGTTTTTTGGGATTGTGGTGGCATCTCCCAAGGCTTTACATTCCTGGGAACATCCCAGGATCTGGGGGACGGAAAATCCCAGTTTTTTGGGATTGTGGTGGCATCTCCTGGGGCTTCCCAACCCTCAGAAAATCCCAGGATGTGGGGGATGGAAAATCCCAGTTTTTTGGCATTGTGGTGGGATCTCCCAGGGCTTCCCAACCCCGGGAACATCCCAGGATCTGGGGCATGTCCAACCCCCCATTCCCAGGTTTTTTTGGGATTGTGGTGGCATCTCCCAAGGCTTCCCAACCCTGGGAACATCCCAGGATCTGGGGCATGTCCAACCCCCCATTCCCAGTTTTTTTTTCTGGGATGGCCTCACCTCCTGCGGCCGCGCCTGCAGCGCCTCCAGGGCGTAGGAGAAGACGCCGGGCTCCGGCTTGGCCATCCCGATCCGGCAGGATTCCAGCACCAGGTCGAAGTGGCGCCGGAGCCGCTCCTGGAGCGCGGCCGTCAGGGAGCGCCAGGAGGTGTCGTCCACCCAGGTGTTGGTGAGGACGCAGGTCTTGAATCCTGGGAAAAGGTCGGAATTCCCATCCCGGACTTGGGGGGTTTGGCCTCTCCGCCCCACCCGTGGGTCCGGAGATGTTCCAGGGTCCCGTGGTGGGAATGGCCGGGATCTCCTGGTGGGAATGGCCGGGATCTCCCGGTGGGAATGGCCGGGATCTCATGGTGGGAATGGCCGGGATCCAACGGTGGGAATGGCCGGGATCTCACACTGGGAATGGCCAGGATCTCCTGATGGGAATGGCCGGGATCTCCTGGTGGGAATGGCCGGGATCCCACAGTGGGAATGGCCGGGATCTCACGGTGGGACTTGCCCGAGCCGCAGGGTGGCTCCTCCCTGGGGCCGCTCCTGCTCTCCATCCCGGCATTCCCAGCATTCCATTGCCACCATCCCGACATTGCCGACATTCCCGACTCACCATCCCGACATTCCCACCAATCCCCACATTCCATTCCCACCATTCCCAACGTTCCAAAGTCACCATTCCCACCATTCTCACCGTTCGCACCATTCCAACATTCCAAACCCACCATCCCACTATTCCCACCACTCCCAGAATTCCCAGAATTCCCCGGTGTCCCACCGTGTCTCCGGAGCTCGGCGGCGGCGCTCAGCAGCCGCCATTCCCAACATTCCCACCATTCCCAACGTTCCCAACCCAACGTTTCCACCATTTCAAATCCAACACTCCCAACATCCCAAACCCAACATTCCCAACATCCCAAACCCAACATTCCCAACATTCCCAACATCCCAAACCCAACATTCCCAACTTCCTGGAGCCACGATCTCCAACATTTCCACCATCCCCACCATTCCCACATCCCCACCACTCCCAGAATTCCCAGGATTCCCGGGATTCCCCGGTGTCCCACCGTGTCTCCGGAGCTCGGCGGCGGCGCTCAGCAGCCGCCATTCCCAACACTCCCAACACTCCCAACACTCCATTCCCACCATTCCCAACATCCCAAACCCATCATCCCCACCACCCCCACATCCCCACCACTCCCAGAATTCCCACAATTCCCAGAATTCCCGGGATTCCCCGGCGTCCCACCGTGTCTCCGGAGCTCGGCGGCAGCGCTCAGCAGCCGCCATTCCAAACATTCCCACCATTCCAAACGCAACATTCCCAACAACCTGGAGCCACCATTCCCAACACTCCCAACGTTCCAAACCCAACAACCCCAACATTCCCACCGTTCCCACCATCCCAAACCCAACATTCCCAACATCCCGGACCCAACATTCCCAACATCCTGGACCCATCATCCCCACCACCCCCACATCCCCACCACTCCCAGAATTCCCGGAATTCCCAGGATTCCCGGAATTTCCCGGCGTCCCACCGTGTCTCCAGAGCTCGGCGGCAGCGCTCAGCAGCCGCCATTCCAAACATTCCCACCATTCCAAACTCAACATTCCCAACATCCTGAACCCACCATTCCCAACACTCCCAACACTCCATTACCATCATTCCCACCATCCCAAACCCATCATTCCCACCATCCCCACATCCCCACCACTCCCAGAATTCCCAGAATTCCCAGGATTCCCGGGATTCCCCGGCGTCCCACCGTGTCTCCGGAGCTCGGCGGCGGCGCTCAGCAGCCGCCATTCCCAACATTCCCACCATTCCAAACTCAACATTCCCAACATCCTGAACCCACCATTCCCAACACTCCCAACACTCCATTACCATCATTCCCACCATCCCAAACCCATCATTCCCACCATCCCCACATCCCCACCACTCCCAGAATTCCCAGAATTCCCAGGATTCCCGGGATTCCCCGGCGTCCCACCGTGTCTCCGGAGCTCGGCGGCAGCGCTCAGCAGCCGCCATTCCAAACATTCCCACCATTCCAAACTCAACATTCCCAACATCCTGGAGCCACCATTCCCAACACTCCCAACGTTCCNNCCAAACCCAACATTCCCAACATCCCAAACCCAACATTCCCAACATTCCCAACATCCCAAACCCAACATTCCCAACTTCCTGGAGCCACGATCTCCAACATTGCCACCATCCCCACCATTCCCACATCCCCACCACTCCCAGAATTCCCACAATTCCCAGAATTCCCGGGATTCCCCGGCGTCCCACCGTGTCTCCGGAGCTCGGCGGCGGCGCTCAGCAGCCGCCATTCCCAACACTCCCAACACTCCCAACACTCCATTCCCACCATTCCCAACATCCCAAACCCATCATCCCCACCACCCCCACATCCCCACCACTCCCAGAATTCCCACAATTCCCAGAATTCCCGGGATTCCCCGGCGTCCCACCGTGTCTCCGGAGCTCGGCGGCAGCGCTCAGCAGCCGCCATTCCAAACATTCCCACCATTCCAAACTCAACATTCCCAACATCCTGGAGCCACCATTCCCAACACTCCCAACGTTCCAAACCCAACAACCCCAACATTCCCACCATTCCCACCATCCCAAACCCAACATTCCCAACATCCCGGACCCAACATTCCCAACATCCTGGACCCATCATCCCCACCACCCCCACATCCCCACCACTCCCAGAATTCCCGGAATTCCCGGGATTCCCCGGCGTCCCACCGTGTCTCCGGAGCTCGGCGGCGGCGCTCATCAGCCGCTGCTCCAGGCGGCCGCGGTCGCGCAGCTCCCGGAATGGCCGGGACACCGAGAATCCCTCGGGAACGGCCACGCCCAGGGAGCGGCCGCGGGCACGGCAGCGCTCCTCCAGCTCCGACAGCAGCTGGAAAACCGCAACGGAGAATTCCAGGGAATTCCGTGGCCGGAAAAAAAACCCCAAAATCCGGGAAAAAACCAAGAATCCAGGAAAATCTCAGAACCCGAAATCCGGGAAATTCTCGGTTGGAAAAGGTCGGAAATCTGGGAAATCGCCGGTTGGAAAAGCCCCAAAATTCCAGAGAAATCCCAGTGGGAAAAGCCTCGGAATGTGAGAAATTCCCGGGTGGAAAAGCCCCAAAAATCCGGGAAATTCCCGGTTGGAAAAGCTCAGAAATCTGGGAAATTGCCGCTTGGAAAGGCCGCAAAATTTGGGAAAAATCCCGGGTTGGAAAAACACCAAAACCTGAGAAATTCCCAGTTGGAAAAGCCCCAAATTTCTCGGAATTTCCCACCTGGAAAAGCCCAAAATTCCAGGAAATTCCCAGTTGGAAAAGCCCCAAAATTCCAGAGAAATCCCAGTGGGAAAAGCCTCGGAATGTGAGAAATTCCCCGGTGGAAAAGCTCCAAAATCCAGGAAAAATCAAGGCTGGAAAAACCTCAAAATCTGGGAAATTCCTGGTTGGGAAAGCTCCAGAATCTAGGAAAAAACCTGCCAGGAAAAGCCCAAAAATCTGGGAAAAAATCCCAGCAGGAAAAGCCTCAAAATCTGGGAAATTCCCAGCTGGAAAAACTCCGGAATGTGGGAGAAATTCTGGGGTGGGGTGGAAAAGAGAAATGATGACCTTGTATAAGAGTGGAAGCTTTTTTACATGACTCACAGCTTCTGGTACCCCTATTAATACCAGAAAGGCTACAGTTCAATGATGTAACTTACATTAACATCATTAGAGTTCAACACTTCCTTCTCTGCTCCTGAGAGCAGAGTTCCATGCAAGGCTTTCATCCCCACCACTCCCAGAATTCCCAGGATTCCCGGGATTCCCCGGTGTCCCACCGTGTCTCCGGAGCTCGGCGGCGGCGCTCAGCAGCCGCCATTCCCAACACTCCCAACACTCCCAACACTCCATTCCCACCATTCCCAACATCCCAAACCCATCATCCCCACCACCCCCACATCCCCACCACTCCCAGAATTCCCACAATTCCCAGAATTCCCGGGATTCCCCGGCGTCCCACCGTGTCTCCGGAGCTCGGCGGCAGCGCTCAGCAGCCGCCATTCCAAACATTCCCACCATTCCAAACTCAACATTCCCAACATCCTGGAGCCACCATTCCCAACACTCCCAACGTTCCAAACCCAACAACCCCAACATTCCCACCATTCCCACCATCCCAAACCCAACATTCCCAACATCCCGGACCCAACATTCCCAACATCCTGGACCCATCATCCCCACCACCCCCACATCCCCACCACTCCCAGAATTCCCGGAATTCCCGGGATTCCCCGGCGTCCCACCGTGTCTCCGGAGCTCGGCGGCGGCGCTCATCAGCCGCTGCTCCAGGCGGCCGCGGTCGCGCAGCTCCCGGAATGGCCGGGACACCGAGAATCCCTCGGGAACGGCCACGCCCAGGGAGCGGCCGCGGGCACGGCAGCGCTCCTCCAGCTCCGACAGCAGCTGGAAAACCACAACGGAGAATTCCAGGGAATTCCGTGGCCGGAAAAAAAACCCCAAAATCCGGGAAAAAACCAAGAATCCAGGAAAATCTCAGAACCCGAAATCCGGGAAATTCTCGGTTGGAAAAGGTCGGAAATCTGGGAAATCGCCGGTTGGAAAAGCCCCAAAATTCCAGAGAAATCCCAGTGGGAAAAGCCTCGGAATGTGAGAAATTCCCGGGTGGAAAAGCCCCAAAAATCCGGGAAATTCCCGGTTGGAAAAGCTCAGAAATCTGGGAAATTGCCGCTTGGAAAGGCCGCAAAATTTGGGAAAAATCCCGGGTTGGAAAAACACCAAAACCTGAGAAATTCCTGGTTGGAAAAGCCCCAAACTTCTAGGAATTTCCCACCTGGAAAAGCTCAAAATTCCAGGAAATTCCCAGTTGGAAAAGCCCGAAAATTCCGGAGAAACCCCAGCTGGAAAAGCCCCAGGATCTGGGAAAAATTCCCGTTGGAAAAGCCCCAAACTTCTGGGAATTTCCCAGCTGGAAAAGGCCCGGAATTGCAGGAAAATGCTGTGGGTGGATCCCAAATCCCGGGGTGGATCCCAAATCCCAAATCCTGGGGTGGACCCCCATTCCAGGATAGATCCCAAATCCCAAATCCTGGGGTGGATCCCAAATCCCAGGGTGGATCCCAAGCCCCGAATCCCAAATCCTGGGGTGGATCCCCATCCCAGGATAGATCCCAAATCACAAATCCCAAATCCCGGGGTGGATCCCAAATCCCAAATCCCAGGGTGGATCCCCATTCCAGGATAGATCCCGAATCCCAAATCCTGAGGTGGATCCCAAATCCTGAGGTGGATCCCAATCCTGGGATAGATCCCAAATCCCGAATCCCAAATCCTGGGGTGGATCCCAATCCCAGGATAGATCCCAAATCCTGGGGTGGATCCCAAATCCCAAATCCCAAATCCTGGGGTGGATCCCAATCCCAGGATAAATACCAAATCCCAGGGTGGATCCCAAATCCCAGGGTGGATCCCAAGCCCCGAATCCCGGGGTGGATCCCGAATCCCAAATCCTGGGGTGGATCCCCATTCCAGGATAGATCCCAAATCCTGGGGTGGAACCCAAATCCCGAATCCCAAATCCTGGGGTGGATCCCAAATCCCAGGGTGGATCCCGAATCCCAAATCCTGGGGTGGATCCCCATTCCAGGATAGATCCCAAATCCCGAATCCCAGGGTGGATCCCAAATCCGGGGGTGGATCCCCATCCTGAGATCCAAAATCTCCAGGGTCAATCCCAAACCCCGGAGTGGATCCCAAATTCGCACGGTCGATCCCAACTCCAGGGGTCAATCACAAATCCCGAGATGGATCCCAATCCCAGGGTGGATCCCAAATCCCCCAAATCCTTGGGGTTTATCCCAAACTTCAGGGTGGATCCCAAACCCTGGAGTGGATCCCTAACCCTGGGATCTATTCCAAATCCCGGGTGGATTCCCAAATCCCAGGGTGGATCCCAAATCCCAGAAATCCTCGGGGTTTATCCCAAACCCTGGGATCGATTCCAAATCCTGGGGTGGATTCCCAAGTCCTCAAGGTCAAGCTCAGATCCCAGGGTTGGTCCCAGATCCCAGGGTGGATCCCAAATCCCGGGAGTGGATCCCAAATCCCAGGAAATTTGGGGTGGCTCCCAGACCCTGGGTGGATCCCAAATCCCAGGAAATTTTGGGTGGACCCCAATCCCAGAGTTGATCCCGAACCCTGGGATGGATCCCAGATCCCAGGGCGGAGCCTGGATCCCAGGGTGGATCCCAGAACCCAGGGTGGATCCAAAGCCCGGGGTGGATCCCAAACCCCAGGAAAATTGGGGTGGATCCCAGTCCCCTGGAGTGGATCCCAAATCCTGGTGTGGGTCCTGATCCCAATGTGGATCCCTGATCCCAATGTGGATCCCAGACCCTGGGGTGGATCCCAAATCCCAGGAAATTTGGGGTGGATCCCAAACCCTGGGGTGGATCCCGATCCTGGCGTGGATCCCGATCCCCAGGGAGGATCCCAAATCCCTGGGGATTTGGGGCATATCCCAGATCCCAGGGTGGATCCAGACCCTAGGGTGGATCCCAATCCCGGGGTGGATCCCAGATCCCAAGAAATTTGGGGTGGACCCCGATCCCAGAGTTGATCCCAAACCCCGGGGTGGATCCCAGACCCCGGGGCAGATCCCGATCCCAGGGTGGATCCCAGACCCCCGGGGTGGACCCCAGATCCCAGGGCGGATCCCAAATCCCGGGGTGGATCCCGGATCCCAGGGCAGATCCCAGATCCCAGGGCAGATCCCGATCCCAGAGTGGATTCCCAGATCCCAGGTCGGATCCCGACCCCAGGTCGGATCCCAGATCCCAGGGTGGATCCCAAACTCCAGGGAGGGTCCCAAATCCCCAGTAATTTGGGGTGGATCCCAACCCCAGGGGTGGATCCCAAATCCTGAGGTGGGTCCTGATCCCAGCGTGGATCCCGAACCCCAGGGAGGATCCCAAATCCCCGGGAATTCGGGGCGGATCCCGAACCCCGGGGCAGATCCCAGATCCCAGGGTGGGTCCCAGATCCCCAGGAATTTGGGGTGGATCCCAGATCCCAGGGCGGATCCCCGACCCCGGGGTTGATCCCAGATCCCAGGGTGGATTCCAGGTCCCAGGGCGGATCCCAAATCCCAGGGCAGATCCCAGACCCCAGGGTGGATCCCAGATCCCAGAGTGGATTCCCAGACCCCAGGGAGGGTCCCAAATCCCCAGGAATTTGAGGTAGATCCCGACCCCAGAGTTGATCCCAGACCCCGGGGTGGATCCCAGATCCCAGGGTGGATCCCAGACCCCGGGGCAGATCCCAGACCCCAGGGTGGATCCCAAATCCCGGGGCGGATCCCGATGCCAGGGCAGATCCCAGACCCCGAGGTGGATTCCCAGATCCCAGGGCGGATCCCAAATCCCGGGGCGGATCCCAAATCCCGGGGCGGATCCCGATCCCACCTGGCTGAGGCCGATCTGGCCCCGCAGCGCTCGGGAATTCGGGCTCTGGGATCCGCCGGAATCCAGAGCGGCCTCCAGGAACCCCCTGGGAGGGAAACCCCAAAGCTCAGACCCCAAAAACAACCCCAGATCCCAAATCCCAAAAATCCCCCGCAGCTCAGACCCCAAAAACAACCCCAGATCCCAAAAAAACCCCAAATCTCAGATCCCAAAAATGACCCCAGATCTAGATCCCAAAAAAACCCCAAATCCCAGATCCAAAATAACCCCCGCAGCTCAGATCCCCAAAATAACCCCAGATCCCAAAAAAACCCCACAGCTCAGATCCCAAAAATAACCCCAGATCCCAAATCCCAGATCTCAGATCCCAAAAAATCCCCGCAGCTCAGATCCCAGATTCCAGATCCCAGAAAAACCCCCAAATCTCAGATCCCAAAAATAACCCCAGATCCCAAATCCCAGATCTCAGATCCCAAAAAATCCCCGCAGCTCAGATCCCAGATTCCAGATCCCAGAAAAACCCCCAAATCTCAGATCCCAAAAATAACCCCAGATCCCAAATCCCAGATCTCAGATCCCAAAAAATCCCCGCAGCTCAGATCCCAGATTCCAGATCCCAGAAAAACCCCCAAATCTCAGATCCCAAAAATAACCCCAGATCCCAAATCCCAGATCTCAGATCCCAAAAAATCCCCGCAGCTCAGATCCCAGATTCCAGATCCCAGAAAAACCCCCAAATCTCAGATCCCAAAAATAACCCCAGATCCCAGATCCCAAAAAACCCCCAGATCCCATAAAAACCCTGCATCTCAGACCCCAAAATAAACCCCAGATCCCAAAAAACCCCACAGCTCAGATCCAAAAATAACCCCAGATCCCAAAAAACCCCCAAATCCCAGATCCCAGATCCCAAAAAAACCCCGCAGCTCAGATCCCAGATCCCAGATCCCATAAAAAACCCCAAATCTCAGATCCCAAAAATAACCCCAGATCCCAAATCCCAAAAAACCCCCACAGCTCAGATCCCAAAAATAACCCCAGATCCCAGATCCCAAAAAACCCCCAAATCCCAGATCCCAAAAAAACCCCGAAGCTCAGATCCCAAAAATGACCCCAGATCCCAAATCCCAGATCCCAAAAAAACCCCAAATCCCAAATCCCAGATCCCATAAACACCCCAAACCTCAGGACCCTAAATCCCAAATCCCCGATGTGAAACCCCAAATCTCAAACCCCCATCCCAATCCCAAACCCCCAATCCCCAAAATCCCAGGCCCCAAATCCCAAAAACCCCCAACATCCCAAAAACCCCAAATCCCAAAAAACCCAGACCCCAAATCCCAAAAATCCCCAAATTCCAATCCCAAACCCCAAAATCCCCCAAATTCCCATCCCAAACCCCAAAATCCCCCAAATTCCAATCCCAAACCCCAAAATCCCCCAAATTCCAACCCCCAAACCCCCCCACCCACAAACCCAGCTCAGATCCCAAAAATAACCCCAGATCCCAGATCCCAAAAAACCCCCAAATCCCAGATCCCAAAAAAACCCCGAAGCTCAGATCCCAAAAATGACCCCAGATCCCAAATCCCAGATCCCAAAAAAACCCCAAATCCCAAATCCCAGATCCCATAAACACCCCAAACCTCAGGACCCTAAATCCCAAATCCCCGATGTGAAACCCCAAATCTCAAACCCCCATCCCAATCCCAAACCCCCAATCCCCAAAATCCCAGGCCCCAAATCCCAAAAACCCCCAACATCCCAAAAACCCCAAATCCCAAAAAACCCAGACCCCAAATCCCAAAAATCCCCAAATTCCAATCCCAAACCCCAAAATCCCCCAAATTCCCATCCCAAACCCCAAAATCCCCCAAATTCCAATCCCAAATCCCAAAAATCCCCCAAATTCCAATCCCAAATCCCAAATCCCAAAAACCCCAAACTTCCTAAACTCAACCCCCGCGCGGGCGGCGCCGCCAACCACAAAATCCTGGCGTTGATTCCGCGGGACTCGCGCGGCGCTGCCGCTCAGTGCGAGGCGGGCGGGCGCTTTCTGCCGCGCGCGGGCGGCTTTACCAAACCGAGCCCAAACCGACCCAAACCGACCCAAACCGAGCCCAAACCGACCCAAACCGACCCAAACCGACCCAAACCGA